CTGTGTATACATTCCAGACAATGATTTTAACATGTTTATGGCCCTTAAGGCCCTGAATACTGAAATCAGAGCTGTTTCTTAAATTGCTGAAGACCCCTTTTCCAAGTGGTTTGGATCACTAAGCTCTTTATGGTAAAAAGTAATCATAGGTATTAGAATCACTGTAGCAATTTTGCTGTTTGAATCCTATGCCATATGAGGGAGATAGCTGCAATGTTTGGCTCGTGTATTCACCTCAGGGAACTTGTGGAAGATCCATGTTACACGGATTGTGACAATAGAAAAAGCCAATGTAGGGGGTGAACAGTGGGATATTATCCAGACATGGGCTGTTTCCCTCCTCCTTCAGTGATTTCTTAACCAAGTCTAGTCTCTGAAGGGTACGCATATTACTAGTAATGAGTCATGGGATGCAGGTGACCAAACAAAGCTTAATGCAATGTAATCCTTATTCTTAATCAATGTAATTGTAAACAGAGGATAGGAAGCTGGCAATTAAGGTGCCTGCCTATAAAACTGCTTGCTATACTGCCCCAAGGTATGGATTCTTCACCAACCTGCCACCATCTGTGCCTCCCTTAGGTTTGAATAAAACAATGTCTTTCCCTGCTGGACCTCTGAGGACTTCTGTGGCTAGGTAAACATTATGTACAAGCCCTATCAGATTTGAAGTTACCACATTATACCATGAAGAAGGTATACTATTATTTTCATTTTGCAAGTAGGAAAACAAGGTAGAAAGAGGTGAAGTTATTTATCCAACATTCCACAGCTAGGAAGTATCAGAGCCAGAATTCAAACCTACACAGCCTGATTTGAGTAAAAATAATTCATTTTATTGATGGAATTAAACTAGCTACATATAAATAATACTGAAAACATAAAAACAAACACATTGCATAATTTTGAAATTTAAAAAGCAAAAATAATACAAGAACATTCACCTTGTTTTTCTTCCCTTTTAAAACCTGAGTCCTAAAATGACAATATATATTTCAATCTGCATACGTAAGACCACAAATGCCTGAAATATACACCTTATTATTTTCCCATTATTTATTTCACAAAGTAAGTGTTCTTTATTTCTAGCTCTCTCAGAAGTGAGAAGTGAAACCACTGCATTCACATAGAGTAACTACAGGACTAAGAACTAAGGTTGCCTATATATGCATGACTACTATTTGTGCCAAGAAATTCTTGCCCAGAAAGATAAGGATGTAAATCAGTAAATAACTTCATTATTTGCTTCAGAAACTTCCCAAAAATCCATTTACCCCAACAATGGACTACTCAAACAACCCTTTTTCACAATATTCCCTCAACTGGGCAAACAATTCATTTATCAAACAGCTGTGTATTTACAAGACTTGGTTAAGATCCTTGATGCACTGTTCCCAGTAATCTTAAACTGTTATCTCATGAACTTTGCCCTCTCGATCAGATCACTGCACTGAAAGACCATGGATTTCTTAAGATTAGACTCCAAACTTTACAGTATCTACCCATGACCTCTCCCTTTGCCATGTCTAAGACTCCATAAAGGCTATGGTCTCCCCTCTTGCATTAAGCAATAACTTTAGCTTTGCTCCATCAACAAGCTATTCCAGCCTTCACTGAGAAGTCAGCAGCCAACAGATAGGACAACCCTATTTATTCAATATCTTCTTTAATGCCCATACCAGACCATAGGTAAAAGCAAATATGACAGAAGATAGGATCATTATAGAAAAAGATAAGCATAAACCAGCAAGTGAATCTAATAATAAATTCAATATGAGACTTCAGACTATATTTCATTAAAGCCACAGTTCAATCTGAATTGGGTTACTACTCACTTCAAAATGATCTTAAAATATCCCAAAAATACAGGTTTACAAAAGGAAAGGAAAAAAAAGTCTTGGAATGCTAAAGTTTATTCTGCCATCCAAGTAGATTTTACAAAAATTTATTTTGCCTTAATTAATTGACATACCCTAACGTTATGTATCAGATATGAATATATAAAATATAGTTAATCTTTAAAAGTCTAAAATTATTTAATCCTACACAAACATAAAACTGATAAATAATAAAATTAGCCATTTTGACATCATATTTTACAGATTTCAGTTATCTTTATCTATACAATTATTCAAGTATATAACTAGTATTTACTCTAATTCACTTTACTTCAGTCTCTCTCCATGCATCATATTTTTCTTTAGAAAATATTAAAGCAGATAAAAATCAAATTGAATAAGACATAGTAAGTTGTCAAAGGTAAGCTTTTTAAGACGATGATGCCTATAAACAAGAACTTTTCAATACGTGTACTACGTGTGTATGTATTATTCATATATATGTACATTTATATGCATGTGTGTGTGTCTGTGTGTGTGTGTACAGGTTGAATATCCCTTATCTGAAATGCTTGGGACCAGAAGTTTTTCAGATTTCAGATTTTTTCAGATTTTGAAATATTTGCAAATACATATGGGTTGAGTACTCATATCCTGAAAATCTGAAATCCAAAATATTCCAGAGAGTATTTCCTTTAAGCATCACATTGGTGCTCAAAAAGTTGCAGATTTTGAAGTATTTCAAATTTTGAATTTTTAGATTAGGAATACTCAACCTGTGTGTGTGTGTGTGTGTGTGTGTGTGTGTGTGTGTGGGCACGCACGCACACCACCACACACACATACACATATATTTCCAGGTAAGAAAAATGAGTGCAGCATTAAGATCCCTATTTTTTTCATAGATTTTCAACACCAGCCATTTCAAGTATTACTATCACTCCCCATGAAATGTAACTAACCATGTGACTTTTTTGTAGTTATTGCTGTTGAGGCAATACAGTATAGGGGAAAGAGCAGGGAGGTTAAGGAAAAAAAACCCAACAAGGTTTAGGTCCTGGATTTCCTATTCTAAATAGGGGAAATAACTTAATCTCATGGATCTTTAGCTTGATCATCTGGAAAAGAACAATAAGCACCTACTTGACATGCTTGCTGTGAAGATTAAAGGCAATAATGCATAAGGTACAGTGTGCTACCTGGCACATGGTGGTAAGTTCTCCATAAGGTTTTGTTACCTATCATGCATGTCAGTTGCCTATAATTATGGGACTAAAGACCTATAAGATATTAAAATACTTCCTAAATAATTGAAGAATTATTAATTATGCAACAAGATTTTCAAGGTTCATATCCTTTCAACCAATAATTCTACTTCTAGGAAACTGCTAGAGGAAATGATTAGAGATATCATCAAATATTTATGTACAAAGATATTCTCCAAAGCTTTATTTTTAAAATTAAAAAACTGGAAGCCGGGCTCGGTGGCTCAGCCTGTAATCCCGCGCCTTTGGGAGGCTGAGGTGAGTGGATTGCCTGAGCCCGCGGGTTCGAGACCCGCCTGGGGCAGCGAGACCTCATCTCCACAATAAATCAAAAAATTAGCCGGGCGTGGTAGCACATGCCTGTAATTCCGGCTACTCGGAAGGCTGAGGAGGAAGGATCGCCGGAGCCCAGCAGGTCAAGGCTGCGGTGGCCGGAAGCAGCCACTGCACTCCAGTCTGGGCGACAGAGTGAGACTCCAACTCAAAAAAAAAAAAAAAAAACAAAAAAAACTGGAAACAACCTACGTATACAAATATTATACTACATTTATATGACTGTTATTAAGTATTAAATAAACTATTTAAATACTCATGAGGACTTAAGGGCAGTCAAAAATACTCAGAAAAATGAAAATAAAACAACAGCCTATGGAACTACATCCCAACCACATCAACAATTATACTCATGTGTATTAGTGTACACACATACATATATACAAAGGTAGAGGAAAGGGATTTGGGAGGAAATGCATCAAAATTCTAACAATGACTATCTCTGGACTTTCCCATCTCTGGATAATAGGAAAATGGTAATTTTTATTTTATTTTCTATTTTCCCTATTATATACATGAATTACTGCTTAAGAAATACAGAATTTAAAAAATACATTCAATTCTATATATTATGTAGTATATTCTAGTTTTTTAAGGGTGATCTCTTTAAGTATGCCATACTTCCAAAAAGATTTGAAATAGCTGACAAAAATAAACAGAGACAAAAATTTAAAAATTTTTAAATTCTCAATGTACATACAAATACATGTGTATATACATATACATAGTAAGTCCACTACATACAAATCTTTAAGTTGAGAACGTTCAAAGATGTAAACGTGCATTCACATGTCCAATCATGTAAGTCAGTTCATGTACATGCATGCTCTACAAGTGTTTTCTTCATTTTTGTGTGTTTTTTTAATGTATCACTTGTGTGAAAAGCATTTTAATCCTACTACAGTACAGTAATATAGTCGATGGTGTTAGTTGGGTATCTAGGCTAACTTTATCGGACTTAAAGAACAAATTGGACTTGGAATATGCTCTTGGAACAGAACTCATTCATGTGTAAGGGACTTACTATACACATAAATATGCCAGTCAAAGAACTGTTGCAGACACTGAAAACTGAAGGAAATTTCTCTAACTTTCTCAGGAAGAGTATACTGGAGGTATAGTGGACATTGTTTTAACTTGTACATTAGGAGTTCTATTTAAGTGAATTAAATGAATCACAGTTATGTGACTGAAAAGACAGGAGGCAGATTAAAACTGAAGGATCAAGACCTGTCACAGAATGAGTCAATGTCAGCACGATCAACGGCCCAACAATTTCTAAAAATCCACAGAAACAAAGACAGAGATTTAGACAGATTTTCCCTTATATTTTGTCACCTTTATTCATATGCCTTCAAAGACAAAAATAAATGGAACTATAAAAATTACATTATTTACTACATATAAAGTACATCAAGAAAATAAACCTTAGCAAAATAAGCTATCCTACTTACAAAGTATTGTATATACTGGATATAATTACCTAGATGATTTCCTGCCTCTAAGCTTTCACTACTATTTCTATTATTCCCAGTAAAACCCTCTGCCCCAACATAGCACTTACCTTCACTGACAGCATGGGGTTTAATAATGCAGCAAGTACAATTGGTAAATTTAGCAGTGTTTGCTGGCCCACAACCTCCACTCGAAGGAAAAAACAACTCCATTTCCTAAAGACAGAAAGAAATGACTTTAACATAGGTGATCTCTTATCTTGAATTTAAAAGGTATTTTTGTGAGGGGGGAAGAACTATGCAATTACTTTTAAAGTTTTATAATATATTTGTTTTAATTTTTTTAAAAATTAGTTTTACAAAGACTAAGTGATTAAATTCACCCTACTTCAAGACTTATAATCAGAAGAACACATAAAGAATTAATCAAAGCAACGAGAATATGTGTCATTCTGTTCCTGTATTATAACTGACAAGGTCTTAACAAACTTTGAATACTAAAAATAATCAATATAAAGTTCTTATTTTCTCCAAAGCATTATTAGTTTATGAGACACAGATCTAATTTTAAATTTTTCATTAAAATATGTGAAACAATACTTAAAACTAGGAAGTCTTTATAGAAACAGATTAATATTCAGGAAACTAAGAACTATAGCTAGTTAAAACTAACCATAGCCCTAGTAGAAAATGTAATCAAATATACCATATTTTATAGCCAAATTCAGGCTGTGTTATTCAGACTGTGACAACTCAGCAATTTGAACTAGCCACAAAGATAGTCACACTAATCAGTTATTTTAATTACCTAGATGATTTCCTGCCTCTAAGCTTTCACTACTATTTCTACTACTCCCAGTAAAATCCTCTGCCCCAAGCTCCAAAGAACCCTACCAATTAGTTTAATAGCCACTTCAAATACCACTTCTTATAGGAGGCCTTCCCTGATGTCTCCTGTCAGCACCTGGTACTCTTCCAAAGTCATGGTTATTTGGGTACTTGCCCTTTACCAAATTAAAAATTTGAAGAAAGGAACTTGCATAGCTTGGTAGGACCCTTAGCACCTAAAACAATGCCTGGCTCAAAGTAAATATACTCATCCCTTGGCATACAGGGAGAGTAGTTCCCTGTATATACCCAAATCCTGCAGCTCACCCTGAGGAAGCTGCCTGTACTGAAAATGGAATCTCCATATTTGTATGTTTCACATCTCACAAATACTGTATTTTCTATCTGTCTTTTGAAATAAAACCACAGACTCGTGCAGTACAAACCCATGTTGTTCAAGGGACAACTGTATTCATTTTTCACTAATTTAAAATTGAACAATCATAGAATGTATTAAGATGCCACACTAATGAACTTTAAAAAAAAAACACAAGGCTGATAAGGAATTGTTCAAATACTAGTGTACATACTTGAGAGATTCCAGTGGCAAGGCAGCTTAGAATAAAATAAAAATGTTCTATTCCTTGGACATTAAGTGCCTCTCTATCATATTGTTGCCTGTATTACTGTTCTTCTTGGTCAGTCCATCTGACCAATAACAACAGAAATTACCACTTCTAGTCCTGTACCAGAGGCTTTGATTACACAGTCTAAGAGATCCTTCCTGGTACATCTGAAAGAAACTCAGATACCTACAGGGCCTGGCAGGCAATCAGCAAAGGAATGGAGTAGACCTGGTATGAAAAGAGAGCATGGTAAAGAAGCAAACTGGAACACAAATGCCCTTTCTAGAGTTTCTGTTTCTCCACTCCCTTTACAACAAAACTCAAAAGACAGATGTCTCTACTTCTTCTCCAGTCTCTCTTAAACTCACATCCAAACAGCCTTTCTCATTCCACCAAAGTCGCTCATCAGAATCCCTTACTACCTCCATGTTGCTAAGTCCACTAGTTAATTCTCAGATCTCACCTTACTGGAACAAACAGTATTTGACGCAGTTGATCACTCCTCTATCCTGGAACACTTTCATCACGTGTCTTTCTTCCCACCTCTCTGCCTGTTCCTTCTCAGTCTTCTGTGGTGGTTTACGCCTGTTTAGCTGACCTTTATGTGTTGGAGAACTTCAAAGCTCGGTTTCTTGGTGATCTCAAGTCCCACAGTTTAAAGACCATCTATATTCTGATGGATCCCATGTCTTTATCCTAATCCAACCTCCACCCTACACTCTACACCATAACTATACAAACACTACTTAATAGACAGTTCATACTTAAAACGTCCAAAACAGAATTCCTGCTTTCACTGTCTCCCCAAATCTGTCCTTTCCTATCCTATTTTCCCCAACCTTCCAATTACACAGGAAAAAGCAAAAACACGTTATCCCCAGTTCTTCTCCTTCTCTCACCCACCACCCAATCTATCAAAAAATTCTTTAAAATATATCCAGAGTCTAACCATTTCCACATCTATCAACTGGTACATGCCACCACCCAACTCTCCATTAGCCTCCTAACTGATCTCCCATTCCCACCTTTCCCACAACATATATGTCCCCCTGTCTGGTCCACTTCTTGATACAGCAGTCAGAATGTAACTTGTTAAAATCTTAGATCCTGCCCCTCCTCAACACAGAATACTGCATAGTCTCCTATCTCATCTGGAATGAATTTCAAAGTCCTAGATGTCCTGCATGTTCTTACAAACTCGGCCTGCTGGTGACACCTCTTCCCTAATCTGCCATTTCCACCATTTAGTTTTCTGCTCCATCATCACTGGCCTTGCCTCCTTATTGCTACCAGAACACAGCAAATATGTTTCCACTTCAGAATCTCTGCATGGATCATTCCCCTTCTTCCTGGAATGCTGTTTCCTCAGATATTCGCATGGTTTTTCCCCCACTTTCTAATTCTGCTCAAACAGAGATTTCTGAGCAGTTCCTGAATATCTTATAGTTAATAGCATTCCACACTCTCATTCAACACAAAATCCTTCCTCCATTCTGTTCTTTTTCTATTCCCTTTCCCTGGTTTATTTTATTCAGAGAACTTACCATTCAACAAGTAATATGTCTATTTTATTATGTGACACCCCCCCCATCAGAAGAGATTTAAGTTCTTTGTTTTGTTTACTAGTAGTTTCTCAATAATTATTTTGGAATAACTGAAATTCAGAAGCATATAAATTCTGCATGTGGTAAATAAAATAAATGTATCCGCATGTACAAATGAGATAAATTAGAAAGCTTGAGTAATAGGCCCTTACAAGTTAGCAAGCAGCAAAACCAGGATTCAAATCCAGGTTATTCTGGTTCCAAAGCCCATGTACCTTTGTATCATGTGATTTTCCAAATGCAATGCTAAATTGTTTTACCTCTAGTTTAATAAATTATTTACCCAATTATCTAGCCAATTATTTTTGTCTCAACTTTCCTCTAATTTACTTTCTTGCTCAATTTTAAAAAGTGGAAATACCAGCTTTCCAAGTACCCATTTAGTATGTTAAATTAATATTTATTTAAGACAAAGAGTATAAAGATTTTATTTAAATACAGCTTAGTGAATCTAAATAATTCTGTTTTATGCCTTTGCTTTGTTTTTATCTCTGTGCAGGTTGTCCTATCTGCCGCACCTATTAATCTAAGCTAACATCTGCAAGAGCACTTTTACTAGGTAACTATTATGGTAACTAATTCAAAGTCTTCATACAACAAATGTAAAGTCACAAAAGATAATGTCTATGCTCCTTTGTGATTTGAGGGTATAAAACATTTTGTTTAAAGCTCCTTTCCCTCCTAAGTGTCCTGCTATTACTCTTGGCCTTTTATATGTCTGTAAATTGTCTAGTAGGAAAGGATAAATACTTTTAACTTTCCAAAAACTTAAAAATTCAGACTCAACATGATAAGCTATAAGTATATATGAATATGTTACTTTTTTAAACACATTATAAAATATATAATTGCACTGCTTCATAAAGTTCCACCGTGGTAGGATCTCATGGGGGAACTCATGGGAATCTCTGATTAATCTACTAAATAAACTGGGTAAATGGTGGCCAGTCAACAATTTTTCCAAAACATAGTAATTTTATATGAATATCATTTTTGTAAATGCCCCAGATGAAAAGAGCAAAAAACATACTTAAACTCCCCTCTACATATTGCCCTAATATCAAGTATCTGTTCTCAGAAAATAATCTAAAACATTAAAAAATAGAATATGAAGTCATATGATCAATGTACCATTATTTCCAAATACAAAAAATCCAAATTGGGGCCCCCAAAAAAGTCCATTCCAAATGTCCCATCCATTCCAAAGAAAGAGAATGATGAAATAAATCACATTATAGCCATGTAAGACAATATTCTGTAGCCATTAAAAATTACCGTTATGATGGTAATCTGGTAACACGTAAAATATTATAATACAATATTAAATGTAAACAAAGAATCAAATTAACATTGCATAAAATAATGTTTACATGTAAATTATATACATGATGAAAGGAGCTGGAAGGAATATGCCATAAATTGGTAAACTATAAACATTGCTGGAAGGACTACTGATGATTTTTAATTATCTGAAGGATGTTTGTATTACTTCTGTATTCTAAAAGACTGTAATTTTTTTTAAAATGTAGGCTGTTACTCTCAGCATCCACAGTAGAGTGTGCATAGCTGTACAAACAAGCACTTCCTATACATGGTAAGTAACAGCAGTATGCAACACGCATGAAGAAGCATCAAGGAAGGGGCAGCTCACTCAGTTCTCACCCAGAATAAAAAAACTGGCAATAGTTCAACAGAATTGGTTTTTTAAAAAACTGTATTGAGGTATAATTGACATACATTAAGCTGCACATATTTAAAGTATATAATTTGATAATTTTTGACATACGTTTACTCCTGTGAAAACATCATCACAATCAAGAAAATAAACATGTGGCACCCCCTACACATGATAATCTCTCTTTCTTCTGTTTTTTCCTACCTTTCTTTCCCCTTATATGTATGGATTTGCTTTCTGGCATTATAAATTAATTTCTACAATTTTATATAAATAGAATCATACAGCATGTGCCCTTTTGTCTAACTTCTTCCACTCAGAAAAATTATTTTGTGATTTATCCCCTGTAGTGTATACAAATGCTTCATTTTTTTTTTAATTGTCAAATAGTATTCTATGTATGGATAGACCATGGTTTGTTTTTGTATTTACCTGTTGAACATTTGGGTTATTTCTAGTTTGGGCTATTAAAAATAAAGCTGT